CGAAGATAAAAAATGAGTTTCTTTGCAAAATTTTGATTTCGAGTATTTTTCCGGAAGTGAACCGGAAAGAGTTTTTTTTATTCCGGATTTTCAATGTAGACAATCGGATAATTTTCTCTATCTTCTACTGGAATTACCATTTGTTCATCTTCCGATTCTCTTTCAATACCATGAGGAATACCACATTTTTCAAATGAATTAATGATCATATCAGCTAGAATATCATTCCACGCTTCAACTATCTATTGACAGATAAGATTATAAGGAGGCTTTTTTAAATTTCCTTCCTTTGTAAACTCGAAACTGCCAAGTGCCATCCAGTTTTGCCATTTGTTTCGCATTTGGTCCTTGAATGGTTTATTAATATATACGTCAAAGGCTGAACTAACGAAGTAAGTCCACCGGGGATTATGCCTCTAACCGTGTTCAGTTCATTACATTTTGCCTTGACAGAGTCAGTAAGGTGTCCTTCAAAAGAATCCATCACTAATAAGCTACGTTTTTGTTTATAGGTTGAAAACCTTTTTCTCTAAATTTCATCTAACCATTCATTCATTAAAGTTTCGTCCATCCACCCGTTTTCTTGCATTTTAATAACAATACCCAAGGGAAAGGGACCTCTAGGAAGTCTTTTGCCTTTGAAAATTACCATGGGCGGGAGTTTAACTCCATCAGCCAGAATTGCAAGAACACACGTAAACCGGTTTTTCTCATTGCCTGTAGTTCTTATTTGAACTGTTTTTGCTAAACGATGATCTACGATAAGATTTCCAATCATGTCAAAGTAGATGGGCGTTTCATCCATATTGGCAATACAGGATAAGTCATAATTATTTATACGCTGTGACTTTTTGATAAATTCATAAAAATGATCTAATTGTTCAGTTAAGTTACAAGGAAGTTTTTGCCCAAGTTTTGTACGGCACCGAAGCACAAGATTATATCTGCTCATAAATCTCTGGCACCAACTATTTGAAGCTTCAAAAGTTCCTAAAGCATTAGGATATACTTGTTGAAAACTAGTTCTAAGAAGCTCTTTCATTTTACATTTTATTGTAGACAATGATACTATAAGGCTATCTTGACGTAAACGAACAACCCACTGATTTAACGCTTCTTCTGCAAGAGGATATGCAGCTTTCCTTCCAGAACTGACACTTCTATATGAACGCATGGCTTCTTCTAATTCTTTTTCCTTTTTTTGCCACTTGGATACTTGAGAATGATCAATACCATATATTTGCGCTGCAGCCTTATTAGACGTTTCCTTTGCTTTTGAAATAATCTCAAGTTTTTGTCTAACAGTATAACTTTTACGTTTTGACATGTTTTGATCTATTAGATCAATTACTAATTCCGTGTACTTATATAGCTTTTCATGATGTCATTGTGTAACCTCAAAATCGTGCACTGATAATTTCTGGGTTCATGATTCGTAAAACTTCTGGTTGGACATTACATTAAAACTTAAATAAATTAATTGAATTAAACAGTGTAGTATATATAAGAATCACTTACATATTTGAATATCATCAAATAATGCATATGTTCGTACTGGTATGGAACAAGACCTATACTAATCAAGGCTTTAATGCGTTTAATTCAGTAAATTGCTTGCTTCTAGAGCTTTTTTATATGATTGTTTTTCATATTTTTATATAATTGTGCAAGTCTTATATATGTGAAGTGTATCTTCTTTTTACCTTTAACAACATCATCTATAGTCTAATGCTAAATATCCACCAAATTCTTTCATCTCATCTTCAACAACACTATCGCCTAATATAATAGTACAATCCAAGTGCATTATTAATCATTCAATTATTTGTGACACTCCTAAATCTAACGAAGCTAGTTTCTAACGCATCATACATATCATCGCTAATAGAGGTGATATAGTTTGAATATTCTAATCATGGTTTCGAGTAACTTAAAAGAGTAATTATAAAAGAATTAATAGAGCTTGCTCCTTACAAAGCAAAATTTTAATTCTATCATACATATTGTCTCTAACGGAGATATATAGTTTGTATATTCTGATTATAGTTTCAGGTGACTTTGGACGAATAATTTTAAAAAAATTAATAGAGCCTGCTCTTCAGTATTGAAAGAATTAATAAAGCTTGCTTTTCAGTATTCTAAATCTGTAACGAAGCCACATTACCGTTAATAGATGTAGTATAGTTTGTATATTCAAATTGTGACTTTGGATAACTTGGAAAGGTAAATTTGAAAGGATTAATAGAGCTGTTTGCTCTTCAGTATTCTAAATCTACAACGAAGCCAGTACATCATCATTAACAGAGGTAATATGACTTGTATATTCTAATTGTGGTTTCAGATGACTTAGAGGAGTATTTTAAAAGGATTAATAGAGCTTGCTCTTCAGCACTATAAGTTTATAATGAAGCCGGTTTTTAACCTATCATGTACATTGTTGTCAATAGATGTAATATAGCTTATAATAGCTGTGAATAATTTGGAAATGTAATTTTAGAAGAAGTTAATAGAGTTTGCTATTCAGTATTTAATGTTAAAAAAATATTCTTATAAGTCTTACATCTTTAAAGTATCTTTTTGGTTCGCTTCAGTATTCTTGTAATGTTATCTAACAATAGGTTTTTTAAAGCGCTTATTTTGGTAAACCTATGTGTCGCTTAAATGTTCCTATTTTAGCAAGTTTTGTATACCATTCAGATGCCTTCTTTTTATTCCCGATAAGCCTATCTCATTTACAGCAGATTTCAAACCTTATTCCAATGCTGTTTTTATCTCTGACGATTTCTTAATACCACTCAACACCTTTTTCCTTATCATTTTCAACACCTTCTCCTCATCCTTTTCAACACCTCCTCATCCTTTTCAATGCCTTATCCTCATCCTTTTCAATGACTTCTTCTCATCCTTTTCAATACCTTCTCTTCATTTTTTTTAATGCTTTCCTCTTTATAACTACGTCGAAGTCTTAAATATATTCAACCGCCTTATTTTTATCTTTAATGTCATCACTATAACATAAGTTTTTTAATAAGTGTATTTAATACTAAATAATTAACAAATTGCATTTTGATACTTTTTGGTCTGTACTATACAATGTGAGTTTTAGATTTGAAAATTTGTTGCTGAATTAGCTTAATAAAGTTGTGCTTTTTTTTTTTTTATTCATTTTATTAAAAAAAATACCTTGTATGACTATAAGTTTACATTAATCGTTTCGCTATCATGACTGAAAAAAGCTTCTTGAAATGGTACTACGATTGGGGCACTTAGATCATAGACAAAAAACAAATATTTTTTAAAATTACCTTTTATATAGTCATGCTCACGTGTTTGTATGCATGGATCCTATTGGTGCATTATGTAATATTTAATTACATGTGATTGGAAATTTTCGGTGAAAATCATTTAAAATTTTATTCGAAAATAGGCACCCTCTATATATCAAAAGGGGGTGCTTATTTTCGGCGATATACGGTATCTTCTTTTCTGGGGCTGGAGGAGGTCTGTATGCCCTTGTAATTGATTGTAGTATGCATTTGTGTAAGTCCCATTTTGAGAAATTTGTAACATTCTCTAATTCTTCTACTAATTCTTTTTTAAGAAGCGAATTGTTTAGACATTTTCTGTCAAATCTCCACTGTTTTGGTCATGACTGATCTGAAGAAAGATGAAGTTCACATTCCACTAGCAAGTGGTCTGAGTTGCCAAAATAAGTAGTGACTTTTTTGCAGTATTGGCCATGATTAACATCTATAAAGATGTAGTCAAGTCTTGTAGCCATTTTATGACCTCCGCGAGTATTTTGATAGTAGGTGAGAAATAGGTCGTCTTCTTTCACAATTGTGGCTGAGTCTATATATTCTGATATAAGTTTTTTGAGAAGCTCTCTTGTAGGATCATTTGCTATGGAGGCTTGACTTATTCGATTTTTCTGTGGATCCAAATTTGTATTAAAGTCACCAGCTAATATATTGATCTTTTCTTCTTCAATTTGAGGAGCCCAACTGTTGAAGAACCTAGCTCTGTCTTCAATATTAGGTGAAGCATATACATTAGCCACCCGAAAGGGCTGTTGTTTATGTGTAAATTCTGCAGTAATAACTCTTCCATTGTGTAATTCCTTAATGTTATTGAAAACAATATGAGCTATAACCCCATTGATTTTGTAAAAATTCTCTTGTGACTGTGTTTTCTAAATTAGTTTCCTGAAGCATAATTATATCTATATGATAAGATTTCAGTAGTGTTAATGTTTTTTGTGCTTTGTCTGGGTTGTTCAACCCCTTAACGTTTAAGGTTGCAATTTTGATTTTGTTAACCATTAAGTTAAAAATATTGAGAGTGTTAGGAAGTTCCTTAGTAGGGTCTGTAAGCTTTTGAGACTAATCCAGACCCTGACTGTATTTTGTTTCCATCTGTTGTATTAATTTTGTTATAGTTTTTAGCTTTCTTCTTTGAAGCAACCACTGTAAAACCATCTGATTCCTCTGTTTGAGTAGTATTTTCTAATCCTTTAGTCTGATCGTAAAGTGTTGATAAAGGATCTGTAGTCATGCTTTCTTGGCTAGTAATAACTATATCTTCGGTTTGGGAGACTTCTGATATTTGATCCACGCTCGAGCTAGTAATTGTAATTTCTGCTTCAGAGATTACTGGCTCCATTTTTGTATCATATCTAATTCTGTATCCATTGTAGATGATTCAGTTATTACCGTTTCTATAATCATTTCATGGTTTTCCTCTTTGACGTAAGGGTTGTTGGGGCTTAAAGCTAATGGCTCTTCCTCTTTGATATATGGGTTGTTGGGGCTTAAAGCTGAAGGCTCTTTTCTCTTTCGTTGCAAAAGATGTTTCTTTTCTTGTATTCTTGCGAGCTTGAAAGCTTTTTGTAAATTTCTGGCTTCTACTG